AATGCTGCCCCCTATGCAGTTTTTCTTAGTGCTACTTCAGCTGTCGTTTGGTAGTTACCCATTCATCCATCCTCACTGCTTATTCTGCGCAGGGCTGTGTAGGCTCTTGGAGCCCAGCTCAGGCAGCATGCAAAACTAAAGGTATCTGAGCATATCATTCTTTCATAGTTTACTATTCCTGGCCAATTCATTTTAAAAATCCAACAAAACAAAACTATAATTTTAGCAATTAAAATATATTATAATATCAGAATCAAAACTCACTTTACTGCTAGTATGCATGAACATACCAGAGCTGATTGTGGCAGAACAACATAAGACATGAAGGGGAACAATTCATAGAACATTACGTATCAAAGGCCTAACACTATTTTATTTTTAAAAACAAATTTTAACATAAAAGCGCAAAAAAATCTGAATTACCTCTAACATTGATTTTTTTACATTATTTTAAAAGGTTCATAAAGATAACCTTTGTCTATTACAACAGTACTAAATATGACTAGATTCACTCAGGTGCGCAACTTCAAAACCAGGTGTTCTGACAAAACGTCCTACTTTATCAAAACATCCTACCGTAGTGCTAATCGATAGCCCTAACCCTAACTCTTACCCTAACCATAACCCCCCAAAAACCCCTAAAACTCTTATCTTAACCCTAACCATAACCCCTAAAACCTAACACTAATCCAAAGACGGTGGAACTGCACATGCGCAGAAAGGCTCGCTAGAACGTCTCGATAGGTAGGATGTTTTGTCAGAACACCCCCACGTGGTACTAGGAGTCCGCGCATGCCCGATGAAGAGAAGTGCGTGTTTACGTGTTGACGTATACACGCAGGCTTACGTCTCCCCTTCGGAAAAGTTATAAATTGCTGTGAAGCTCCGTCCCCTTCCACCTTCAGCCATTTTAACCATGTTGGGAGCTGTGGGACGCTGCAGCGCGGGGGTTTTGCAGGCTTTGAAGCCTGTTGCCAATCCGCTGAAAACCTTCAGTGGAGCCCCGGCAGCTCTTTATTCGCGTAAGTTGCGTGGTGGTATCTGCAGAGGTGTTCTTATGGCGTTTATCCCTTTTTAGAGCTGCTGGTTTGCTAGCTGGCTAAAATGGGAGAAATGTTGCCATGCCGGCCGGATGCGCTTTACTTGAGTTTTTTCTTAGTGATTATGAATTGGACACTTAAGTACACGTGTCCTGCGCATTTTTGTATGTTATATTGTAGCTTTAAAACGTTATTGAACCCGATTTGCTTTTAAAAATACCAATGACCTTAGTCTTTGGGTCATTATCGGTTTCTCAGGAGCTAGCAGGCCACTGTGTTAACTTAATGCTGTTTGTAATGTGTGTCTCGTCTCAAGGCCGGGTAGTTGTCATTCGACTCATTGCAGGTTTCGCAATATCACTTTGTGCATGTTACGGTTATTTATTACTGTGGAAAGATGTGCTCTTGTTTTGGGGTCGTGTCGAATGTAACCTCCGATTTGACATTGCACTGACTTGGAATCGTGCAGTGATATGGCATATTGCCGGTTGCAGTATTGTAGCAGTGGAAACTTGAACTCAATGACAGACTCCTTTATGACAATCGGAAGCCATCATTTATTTTTAAATGAATGTAAATGGAAAAAGAAACACCACGACACAGCGAAGGGATGTCATTCCATTAAAATCATGGTATCCACTGCGGTGAATTAGTAGCTCTTTGTTGAATTGATGGGGTGTCTTCGTAATGTGGGTTTCGTGATCAATGTTATTATGCTGATTTGCAATAATTATCAATGTGTAATCGTTATTTCTCCATGTTTCATACTTTGCAGGCAGGAACTATGCTGCTGCGGCTGCGCCGACGGCTAAACCCGCTGCCGCCGCTGGCCGTATTGTGGCGGTCATCGGTGCCGTTGTCGATGTCCAGTTTGATGAGGGCCTTCCTCCTATTCTCAATGCGCTGGAAGTATCTGGTCGTGATTCCAGGCTGGTGCTGGAGGTTGCACAGCATCTAGGTAAATGTCTCTTATAGAGTTTATCCCAATTAAGGTTGCAAAATTCTGGAAATTTTCCTGTTAATTCCCATATATTCCCATGGAAAGTTTCCAATTTGTAGTATTTCCAAAATTCCCCAGCTTATCTTCCCATGGAATGGAAATATTCTGCAAAGTTTCTGGAAATTTTCCATCCCTTTGCAACCCTAATCCCAATCAGTATTATTATATTAAAAGAATTTATAACGCATTAAAGTTTGACTTGTATTTTAGGGGAGAACACAGTGCGCACTATTGCCATGGATGGTACTGAAGGTCTCGTACGTGGACAGAAGGTTCTTGACACCGGGGCACCCATCAGAATCCCAGTGGGACCAGAGACCTTAGGCAGGATCATGAACGTCATTGGGGAGCCAATCGATGAGAGGGGGCCCATCACCACCAAGCAGTGAGTGAAGTTGCTTTCTTTGAATTTATCCACAGAAAGAAATGTGGTATGCTTTTTTTCCCAGTCAGAATAGCTGGGTAAATTTGATTGGTTTATAAACCTATCTTTGTTTTATCCTATGAGGGAACAGGGATATATTTGGGACCAACTTTGCAGGAACAATAGAGGTGGTCGGAGGTTAGGGTGGTGTTGCTGTAAAAGCTTCGGGCCTTTCTTGCAGGACTGCTCCCATCCACGCAGAAGCCCCCGAGTTCACAGACATGAGTGTGGAGCAGGAGATTCTGGTCACTGGCATTAAGGTGGTCGACCTGCTTGCTCCTTATGCCAAGGGTGGCAAAATTGGTATGTGAGGAGAAGCTAGATGACATCATACCTTTAGTGACCTGATTTGCTATAATTATCCTATTCCAATTAATACTGTTGTATTACTGTGTAAATGTATTACTTGTGTACAGTGTATTACAATTTTGCATGATAATATACTTTGGCACTACTTATTTACTGCTGCTGTACCAATATTTTAGTATCCTATATAATTATGTACGTTTTGTTCTTTCTGTTTGTATTCATGCTTAAACCCTATCCTAATACAGAATCAAATGTCTGCCTTAGGTCTCTTTGGTGGTGCTGGTGTGGGCAAGACTGTCCTTATCATGGAGCTGATCAACAATGTGGCTAAGGCCCATGGTGGGTACTCTGTGTTTGCTGGGGTTGGAGAGCGCACCCGTGAAGGAAATGACCTGTATCATGAAATGATTGAATCTGGTGTCATCAACCTGAAGGACACCACCTCAAAGGTAAATCTTAGGTCCTCACAGTGTGGCCTTTTGAGCCATTTGCGTTTTATGTTGTTGTAGAGACCAAGGTTATCCTGTTCCAGGTAGCGTTGGTGTACGGGCAGATGAATGAGCCCCCCGGTGCCCGTGCGAGAGTGGCTTTGACTGGTCTCACTGTTGCCGAATACTTCCGCGATCAGGAGGGACAGGATGTGCTGCTCTTCATTGACAATATCTTCAGATTCACCCAGGCTGGATCAGAGGTCTGTGGATTAGCTTTCCTTAAGAATATTCAGAGATGGTTCACTTATGGACACGTCTCCTAAGAACTCTAGCAACCTTCAGTTTGTAAATACTTGGAGGTGCATGGGTATAATCAGGGACCCTTCCAAAGGGTACTGGCATGTCTTTCTACAGAAGTTCTAACATGTTAATCTGTCCCAATGTACATTAAGGTACAAAGGTTTCCCTTCTGGAATTAGTTTTAATAGACCAAATTAAGTTAAATTCTGCAGCAGCCCTCTCATTCCTTAACCTTTCTGCCATTTAGGTATCTGCTCTGTTGGGTCGTATTCCATCTGCTGTGGGTTATCAGCCCACTCTGGCCACTGATATGGGTACCATGCAGGAGAGGATCACGACCACCAAAAAGGGCTCCATCACCTCAGTTCAGGTGGGCAAGGCTGGCATCCTGGATGTAGCACTGCTTAATTCTGCCAGGCCATGCAAATTTAATCTAGATATTTTCGAAATTCTTTTCCAGGCCATCTATGTGCCTGCTGATGATTTGACTGATCCTGCTCCTGCCACCACCTTTGCCCACTTGGATGCCACAACTGTGCTGTCTCGTGCTATTGCTGAGCTGGGTATCTACCCTGCTGTTGACCCCCTTGACTCCACCTCCCGTATCATGGATCCAAACATAGTGGGAACTGAACACTATGATGTGGCCCGTGGTGTACAGAAGATCCTGCAGGTATGACCAATTTCTACATTTCCATTGACTTGGACCACTGGTGCTGTGTGGAATTTTAAATGATGGTTCCCAGTTTTGGTTTCTTGCAGGACTACAAATCCCTCCAGGATATCATTGCTATCTTGGGTATGGATGAGTTGTCTGAAGAAGATAAGCTGACTGTTGCTCGTGCTCGCAAGATCCAGCGTTTCCTCTCTCAGCCTTTCCAAGTGGCTGAGGTCTTCACTGGCCATCTAGGCAAACTTGTGCCCCTCAAGGACACCATCAAAGGATTCAAGAGCATTCTGGCAGGTATGAACCTGTTAACTGATCCCTCTGCAAAGAACAACCACTTGCATGAATTTTAGCCAATGTTGGTTACTATATGGTTACTCAGCTGCTGAAAACCAACGTGTTTGACTTTTACAGGCGAGTACGATCCCCTGCCTGAACAGGCGTTCTACATGGTTGGGCCTATCGAAGAAGTAGTCCAGAAAGCTGAGAAACTCGCAGAAGAACATTCGTAAATCACTCTCAAAGTATGGGTTATGATAAAGCTTACAGTGGAGGAGCACTTTTGTGAAATGTACAATTTAAGTATGATGTCCTGTCATCCCGAAAAGTTTGTTTTCATTTCCAGGAGAAAACGAAACCATTAAAATCTGTCTTGTTGTAATAGTGTTTCTTCGTGATCCATGACTTCTAATCTGTTGTGATAGTGCATTTCAGGCAAACATAGCTGGACATTCATTAAATTATTAGAAACTTATTGAAAAACAAATGTTGTATTCTTGTACTACCACCTCTGCAGAGAATATGAACACTTAACAAGTGAAGGCTTATGTGAGCAGATTACAACAATTTTTATTCAGGCATATGGCACTGACATGCAACTACTACATCGATTGGGGAATGTCAGTCTGGTATTAACCGATCATTTGACGTAGTTTGGCATTTAATTCTTTTTCCTTTGCGAGGAGCTCGCTGCTGTGTTTTTTATAGGCCTCAAAATCCTAAAAAAAGAACAATTGGACATTGTTGAGCATGTGGTATTGGAACAGCAGTGGCCCTTTACAGCTGACCCAAGAAACTGGGTCTGAACTTGGGATGGAGTGAAACCACTACTTCTGTCAACACACCTCCTTCAACTCGCTGCAGGCTTGTTCGGATTGGTCAAGGGCCGCGTGGAGGTCTCTCACTTTCAAATCTGCATTCACAGCCTCCGCTTCCGTTTCAAACCTTCAAAGGAAACATTTGGGTCACAAGTCTCCTCATTGCTACATTTCAAATGTCCATGAACCGGCAGCTTACCTCTGCTCTGCTGCTGCTCTGGCCTGCTCCTCCTCTTGTCTCTGACTTTCCAGGAGCTTAAGTTCTTCTTCTTTTTTCTGAAAGATGTTTTAATATTGACCTTAAATTGGTTTTAAATCTACTTCATCTGCATAAAAGGAAATAACTCATTTGAAATGTAAAATGTAAATTCTTTTTCATGCCTGTATTATTCTCTTCAGGGCTGACAGGTCCTCTAGCTCATCCTTCTTCGGTAAGACCTCCAGCTTCTCTTGCAGTTCAGTCGCTATCATTGCATCCTTTTCCCTTGTTTGTCTGAGCTGCAGGTTCAGCTCTGTGAAGAATGTATAGAAACAATGGGGATATAATAAAATACTGTGGATATTCAGAAGTGTTGGGAACAGCAGTTCAGTTAATGTGGCTGCATGACGCTCTATTACCTAATATATTGTGTTTTGTCTTAACGGCTTAAAACTGTAGTACTTTGCATATCATGAACACTCACCTGTGTACATGTCCACTGCATCTTTGAGCTGCTTCTGGGTGCTATGCAATTCATTTTGTAAAGAGGCTTCTTTAGATTGATGGAGACTCATGAGTTCTTTGAGTTTAGTCTGAAATCCAGTTGTTTTTTCCCTGTATAAATGAGAAAGGCTTAGGTTATATTATCTTGTAGTTAACAACATTTTGACAGTTCATTGCTTTATTAAATTGTTTATGCTCACTGATACTCAGACTCTAGATGTTTGTGTTGCTCTGCTAGATCCTTCAGTTCCTGGGTTAATTTTAGGATGATATCCTCTTTTTCTTTGACTTTTTCTCTGTAAAGGTTCTCGTTTTCTTCACGAAGTCTCTCGTTCTCCTCGGTCAGCTGCCCATTCTGCTTTTTATACTCGTCCTTGAAGCTAATTAACTCCTCGTGATTTGTTGCCAGATCTTTGAATCGCTGTTCCAGCTGTGAAGACCTCTCCTTCTCATCTTCCAGCTCTTTTTGCACATCCTGACGCAGGTTCTCCAGCTCCTCGTTGATCCGCTCGAGAGCCTGGCACCGCAGAAGCATCTCGTCCGCCCTGTGTTTCAGGATGCAAATCAAACCGGACTGCTCGTCTATTCTCGACCGCAGGACCTCCGTATCACTCACGTCGTCCTCGGACAGACTCCGGAGCTTTTCCAGTGCTACGTGAACATCATCCATGTCCTAAGCGACGGCAAACAAAAAAGCAGCCATATCACAATACACAAAACAACTTTTAATGAGGAACCTCAGCCAGGAAGACTATTATCGCTGACAAAGCAATAGTTGCATTGGTTTAAAAGCACCATGCATAAATGCGTCGCTAACATTTCCAATCTTAGCAACTAGAAGAAAGTAAATGCGCTGCACATGTGAACCCTGGACTGCTCACTATGTCAAACCTCTCCAGTTGCATTATAATTATCGGAAAATCTTTTGCACGTCGACATTTTACTGCTGTTTACAACCACGTTATGTTAAAGGTTTGTGTTAAATGCATTTGCCCGGAAATTTAAAATCTAACCCGCATTAGCGACCTGCAAGCTAGCCTAACTGTAGCTACATCGGGACAATGCACTGAACCCAGACTGCAAACACCCGAAGCACAGGGCGTGGATAACCAGGGCTATAAACTGGCAAGGCACCCCAGTGTATCACCTGCTTGGTGTCCGTGATCATCTTTTCGAGGTCCTTTGGGTTTTTGTGCGGTGATGCCATGCCTGAATCGGCCGTCAGTCTCCAGCTATGAGCAGCTTCAGAAAAACCATTGTTCAGCTTCTCTACGCCTCATTCGCAGCACAGTTTACCGATGGTCGGAATACAAAGTTTTAGCTGTTGCCAATAGCAACAGCCGTACGGAAGCCTCATTGGGACAGGGTTAGTGGCCGCTCCAGTTGTTCAGCGTCATTCATCAAATTAATTAGTCCATACTTCTTCTGCTGGACTGAAACATCTCGATTTCGTTCCAGACCTTTGCAGTATTCTTACGTAATATAGCTGGTGCATTCTGAATATGTAGGACTGTTTACAAATAGGATTTGTGTTTTATATATGCTTTTTTGTGTATGCTTTTTAGCGGTCTGTTGTATTGCAGTGCTTAATGTGCGTACACATAGTACAACGTAATGCTAACTTAGCAGTGATAAACGCAGCAACATCCACTATTAAGGCTTTTATATATCAACAGCAAGGACACACATGCTAAGTCTATGCATAGTTAGGCTATAAATATTTATTTAAATTTGATCATTCTTTCATCTGTTTTACAGACTTTTTAATTGACCTTAACTTGATATAATCCTTCTGACATAACATAAATGATTTAAAACATGAATTTTATATCAATGTCTGTGGTCAATGAGTGTTCAACACAGCAGAATAAATACATTTTCATGTTCATATTCTCTCTATATATAATAAACATTTTGCCACCCTACCCCTAATTTCAGATAATAGAATAACGGGAAAAGAAGATAAACAAATAAGTAATATTCATCATAATCAGCATTACTATGCAGAAAGGGTCAGTAAGAGCACCATTGCTGATTCTCAGGGTAACTGAGACAGATATGCATAAATGCGGGATTATGGGTTTGTAACATCCACCTGATTTAGACAAGCCACCCGGTCCTCTTTGGGTACGGGAAACAAAGCACAAACGATAAAGTCAGCCATGAAAGAGGGGAGGTAGGATATGGGGAGCCAGATAAGTCTGGCATCCCAGCCTGCAGTGTAACGGCTGCGGGGGTGTCGCGCGGTCAGGGCGTGCTCCATGCAGTGCGTCACTTTGGAGATGTCCTTACTGCACAGGAGACTCATGGCAAAGCTTTGAGCTTTCATATCTGCGGACAAAGGGAGACACCTTCTTCCAGTAGTGTTCCATGCTGTAGGCATTTTGTTTACCAATATGAGTCTAAATGTCACATCCATAGTACTGGAATTTCCTGTGACTATTAATTTATATAATTTTTTTTTTACAAAGTAATGAGCAAATATTTGGTGATACTATCTGGAGATGACTCTTATGATTCAGCTTCATTTTGAAATGTTATGATATGAATTTGAATAAAATATTCACATCTCTAGTGGAGTTTATCTGACAGCAGAATGACTCACAGTTCTGCAAATACTTCTCCCCATAGGTTTCCTTGACGTCTATGTGAAGCTGGTCCCACAATCTCCTCAGGTCAGCATCTATAAGGTTCACGTTTGTCACGGCTGTCTTGAAGAAGCCTGGTTCAATGATGCTGACTTTCACACCAAAGTGCCTCATGTCCCTTCTGAGTGCAGGAATGGACACATGAAACACAAACATTCTCAGAAGACATGCAGTAACCATTAAATGATATACCTTTCAGAGGTACTGCATTTAAGCTAAAACACAAACTCCACACTCATAAAAGCAGGATTTGAACCCCCGACACTGGAACTGCGAGGCAACAGGGCTATTCCTGGGTCATCATACCATGTCTGATAGCAAAAACAAGTCTTGTTTGTAACTCTTTCAGCAATGAACATTATTATGTAGTTCAGGGTTCCCCAGTTCCCGTCCAGGAGGGCCAGTCTGCAGAATTCCCTGCTTCAAACACACATACTAAACCTGGCAATTAGCTGGTGATCTGAATAAGGTATGTTTGAGGAGGGAAATCTGCAAACTGTGTTGCAGGCTGGCCCTCCAGGACTGGGATTGGGGAGCTCTGACGTAGTGTATTGCTGGAATAGTGGAATTGTGGGTATTTATTTTCCATACCTCAGACTATCTGAGAATGACTCCACAGCCCACTTGGACACACAGTAGCCACCCCCAGTCAGCACCAGCCTCCCCATCACACTGGAAACGTTGACGACTCTTCCCCGCGCCTTCTTCAGCAATGGGAGGAGCTTGAGAGTCAACTCAATTAGCCCAAACAGGTTGACATTTAGAATATTCCTAAAATCCTCCATCTGCATCCACTCTGAGGGCCCAACTGGAATGGACCGGCCAGCGTTGTTGACAAGGCCCCACAGACCTGCGTGTGACAAAGTGTTAGACACAGGAATTCTACTCAGAACGACACTATGTCCATCTTTGACATCATTATTTCTATTTATATTCAATGTTTTGGACCATGTAATTAAATCATATGGTTATTTATATAATATTAAATATATTATTAATAGAAGTTATAAAAATACTTACATTTTTAGTAATTATAAAGACAAAAAAGTTTTTCTAGATGTCAGTTTCTTGACTTTATTGTTCACCTACATCTAGAAATGTCCAACAGCATTTTATCCTTCAAAGGTTTAATCTTCTTATCTGTGTTAATCTGCAGCCACCCTTAACCTTGTTAACACCTGAGGGATTGTTCCAGTTGGTAAGCTGTTTAGAGATGCCTCGTGGTAATTTGAAACTAACGACTGGAACCACTGCCCCTTTGTCTGACTTACCACAGCTCCCAGTTTCATTGTGCACAAATTGCACCGTGCTGTCGATGCTCGAGCTGTCCGTCACGTTCAGCAGCACTGCCTTCAATCTCCACGAAGTCTCTGCCTTTAGATCCATGCATCCTTTCTCCGTTAAACAGGTAGCTATCACGTGGAAACCTTTTTGGTCCAGCTGATGGGCAAGCAAGTTCCCAAATCCGCTGTCGCATCCCGTCACCAGGACAAATTTCTCAGTGATACTATCGACTTTCAATGAGTCTCTTATGTACCATGCAAGAGTGACGACAGCAAAAGTAGCCAGGATACATAATAATACAGGGTTTGACTGGAATGCCTGCAAAAGTAAAAGAGAATTGGTGGTTATATATAAAATTTCCCTTTGACCATTCTAGGATCAGCCCAGGATTGTCTGTTACTGCCTTGAAATTTTGTTATCTGTCACCTGAACCCACATTCTGTAGAATGCCTTTGACTCACCTGAATAATACATTCTCGAATATATTCCACTTCATATAACTGTATAATAGAATAAAATAAGTAAGAATTAAGTAATACATGTAATTGTACATTTATGTCTTTAATAGTATATGACAAAAAGGTATAGAGATGCCCAAAATTATACGTAAATGCTATTAGTTACTTACTGTGGCACCTTACTGCTATGGATTCCTGGATGTTCACTTTCTAAGACTGGGAACTACAACTACTAAGGAATGACTTACTTCTGAAGAGATTATATCTTCATCCATTAATCTTTAATGGTCTGTGAAATGCATCGGGGGAAAAAATCCTTTGTGATATAGTGATATAATCCTTTCTGTAGGAGAGCAAAAATATATCCAATTTAATTCAAATTTGAAATGATCCTGAATTTTGTCTTCACACAGGAGATGACACGTCTCTGTTCTCCAGCCCATGCAGTAATCCTACTTTGTCTGTCACATCACAAGGATTATGCTAATATCTGATGAGTGCCACTGTATTTCCATTACATTATGTGCTGCTGTACTTACGCTCTTATTATTGCACATATATCTTATATATTTACACATTTTCTGAAGAACAGCTTTCTGGATATTAATCAATAATTAATAAATGAGACCACACTCAAGACAGTCGTGAATTAATGAAGTCAAGCAGCTTTTAACGACACACTGTATGGTGTTAGGTGGGCGGAGCCACTGCCTCATTACTCATCCCAGCCAATCCTCCCCTGACGAGCCTCACCTGTGGCTCATCATGAGGAGAGAATTGGACTGCATGTAAGCGCCCCTCTCCCACTAGGCACTCAGCAGGGGGGGCAGCCCCCATCAAGTGGCACAGCTGGGGCAACTTCCGGGGACACAGGTGGTGCTGGAGGGCTGGGGGGCAGGACAGGGACGTCCTCCGGGGCAGTAGGTGGCACCGCAGGGTCGGGGGGAGCAGCAGGGACAGCCTCTGGTCAGTAGGTGGCGCCAAAGGGTCAGGCAGTGCAACAGAAGTGACCTGAGGGCCAGCAGGGTCAGGAAGCACTGGGGAACAGCTTCTGGGGCACCGGGTGGTGTCGGAAAGACCAGGCGGTGCAGCAGGTGGAGCTGATAGAGCAGGAAGGGAGGGAGGAGACTCCCAGCACACAATGTCCTTGGGCTCCATCTCCTCAAGCGATTCACAGCAATAGCAAAACTTTGACACCGTGTGACTGCAGAGCTGGGTGTGACATCTGGGCTCCATCCACCACTTATCTTCTGCCACCAGACCGCACAGCAACTCAATCCATGCCTTTAACTTAAGGCACGTGCCTCAAGTCCCTGCCTGCGTCTGGTATAGTGGGTCGAAGAACCAGTACCGCGCCAGCTAGCTGCCTTCCACAGTCCTCATAGTGTGACCCCTCTTCCTAATGCTTCTTCACCCCATGCATCAGTACCTTGTTATTCTTAGGCTGGAGTGAGACTCAAAACAACCTGAAAATTGAAGCTCAAATGCAACCTTAACGCCAAAGAGTCGGCACCCAGTTCCGTACAGAACCCAGCTGACCAGTTGCTCACATTCTCCACCAAAGCGGCAGGGGCTCAGGGACCGGCCCGCTCCACCCTAGGTGCAGTGCCTAGCAGGAACTTGTGAACGCTCAGTCAAACATGAGAGCGGGCGCACAACTGGTGTTTGCGATGCAGAAACAAACCAAACCAGCTTCATAGTCCGTGTCAGACACCTGTGAATGATTTGTATGGTTTTTTTTTTAACTTAGCAACACTCCAAACATGAATATCCAATTCTTGCGTTTGCATATCCAGAGAGAGTTACATATAGGGTCCAATAACTGGCCATCTGAAGCACAAAGAGTAAGACGAGGCCCAGCTTTAATAGAGAATGTGGCACTAAGTGTGTGAAAGGGTAAAAGGCTGAGTGCATTTCAGCTCACATTACTGTGAAGGTCCAGTCTGTGACTCAGAAAGGGAAGGGAACAATTCCCACAGTGTTCTTTAAAGACAGCAAGGAACTCTGCTCCATTCTACATTGTGCTTTGCCCCCATTTATTCTGCCGCATGCCTGTCCTATCTGCCTGAGACTCCACAATGTATTCTCCGATAAATGCACTACACACACACACACAGACACACACACACACACACACACATACTGTACTGTATATGTGTGTGTGTGTGTGTGTATACACATAAATACACACACATATATAGTCACAGACTTCAGCATAGTCAGTGAGGATGGCATTTTATCCACTCCGCCGTTTTCTAGGCCAGCTGGATCACACAAACAGTGTTCAGTGAACATTTAAGATCTGTGACTGAGATGGAATCACTTTGCATTTCAAAGCCCTACTGAAGTAGTTTTATTTGTTCAAGGAATTACAAGGAAGTCTGTATCCTGTGATTAGACAGCATCTTGTTACTAGAATCTAATTCTGGAATGCTATATTAGACAAATCCTGTATTATTGGATAGTGTCTGGCTCTTCTCTGCAACCATCAGCACAAGGTCATCAGTTCAAATCCCAGAGTCATTTCACCACCGGGTGCCTGAGCAAGGCCCTTATCCTCAGTGTCTCCAGGGACTGGCTGACCCTGACTTGTGATCGCCATCGATATTTTACTTTTGACAAAAGTTTCTTCATATATAATATATGACTCCATTTCAGTGATGTGCACACTTTTCGAGGTGTGTGGTCAGTTGGTAGTATTTGTTGGCCGGGGGTGTCCCCCATGATAATTTTTTGCCATCGTTGGTTATAGAAAAAGGGCACTTAGAACATTGAGAGTGGGGGGAGGCACTTGGATTTATTCAGGGGAAAGAGCTGGGTGCTCAGGCAGGTGCTGGTATTGGACCCAGATGGATGTTCTTATTTAAAACGGAAGTCTTTGGGAAGATATGGCAACAATAAACTGAGTAATTAGAGAAACAATGTTAAGCAATTTCACTTAAATTAAATGGTTAGGGTGGGGTGTTGATATAGTTTCATTTGATTTATCAATGTATTGGTGTTTTAGTATTAGAGGAATGCAAATCAAAACTGGTGTTGCATACATACTGCAGGCGATGGAGAAACACCTCCCAGTCTCTTTGGACTGTGAGGGGCCCCCAGAGTAAGCAGAGAAAAACAAGGTAATGCAGGGGGCCCCAATAAAGACAGAGCTGTGGCTGGGAATCAAAGGCAGAGTATTAAGGCTATAATCTTACCCAACACACCAGCACATTACTTACAATACATATTGTGTTTCATTATTTATTAAATGAGAAAGAACAGAACAGAATTCTGAGCAAAGGAATTCAGTTTAATAAAGATGAGCAGCAATGAGTGTCAAAGAAAACAGACTCTTCAGAGTATCAGCCTCTTTATTTACACAATCCAGTACAAATCTGAATAGTCCAGTCAGATTGGCAGCTAGAAGCCAAGCCACAGTAACCTATTAAGAGGGACGAAAATTAAACATCAGACAAAAAAACCCCCAGAGAAGCAGAAGTATAACAACATTAAAACATACTTACTATACTTATAACATATTAAAATACACTAACCAAACTAAGACCCAAAGAACATCTGCTTAAAACCATGTACTTATATGAACTAAATTTGAATTTCTAATTCAGGCTTTGCAATGTCATTTCCTGATTACATGAGAATAATAAAACTTTACAAAACTACATAAAAATTCATATCTGAAACGTCAATACTACTTTCCAATTAATGTAATTAGCACACTCAACAATGAATGTATGTATTTTGTTACGGTTTGCCTATGTTAGGTAGTGATAGATAAGTTCACTATAGCAATATGTTGTTCCCATACTAAACAGAAATATGAGGCTATATCACAGATTTTGCTGGTTTTGCTCCCTTTCTGATGAGCAGGTAATCAGAGATGAAGGACGGCATGTAGGACAGAGGCAGCCACAGGAACTTGGAGTCCCAGCCTGCGGAGTAGCGGGTGCGAGGATGGACAGCACAGAGGGCGTGCTCCATGCAGGACACCACTTTCATCAGATCATCATCTAGCATCTTTTCCAGAACCGGCTTTTGGTGGAACACTGCGGCACAAAGGCGATTCAGATCACTGCACTGCTTTCTTTGAGTCTTTGAATTTGCATACGAATCAGTCTAGAACTTTTTCTTAATCTTGTTAAATAGCTATATTTAGCATTTTAAATAGCAATATTTCGCTTGTTAATAATGTCTTCTAAGTAGAAGTATCAGGAAACACATTGACTGAGGGATGATGGTATATCAGGATTAAACAATCAGCAAACATTCTTCTGAATTACAGAGAATTACACAACTTCAGTTGATACAATGGTAACACTTCACTTGAGGGGGCACAAGTAACTTACTAACTCAGTTATTACTCAGGTACAAATCATTAACAAATATGCAATGCAATGCAATTTTATTTATATAGCGCATTATCACAACATTACATTGTCTCAATGCACTTTACATTTCTGCCACGTAAGGACCCCCCAGTGAGAAAGCCAAAGGCAACGGTGGCAAGGAAAAACTCCCTAAGAGGAAGAAACCTTGGGAGGAACCAGACCCAAAGGGGGAGCCCATCCTCCAGGGGCCGGCAGATTAGTCAAACAAAACAAGATGATATGACTAAGCTAATACAGGGGTTGAAATATCAGTCTCAATACAGTAACTATACAGTAACTGCATGAAATACATGAATCATTATGACTGATGAATGAACATGAGACTAGTACATAACTAACATTTAGTTTCTGGTTAATAAATACATTAAGTAAGAGTGTGTACTACTACATTATTTGTGCCCCCACAACATGTTACTGATAAAACTTTAGTTGCAATTCAGGTATAAATGATAAAAAAAAAACCTCTATGAAACAAATGAGTTTTTATATGCAAATTACCTTTGTCAATGTAATCATTTCCATAATCCTCTCTGATTTCCTGTGGCAATTTGGCCCAAAGTTTCTCAAATTGCCTTTGAATAACATCACTGCTACTCATATTGGTTCTAAAAAACCCTGGTTCTATGCATATGACTTTGACTCCAAAATGAATCATCTCTCTCCTGGAAAATGAAGAAGAAAATTAGAAGAAAATAAGATAAAGAAAACAAATGCTTCCTTATGCTGTTTTTGTATGGTCTTACCTAATACTGTCATTGAAGGCCTCTACTCCAAATTTGGAAATGGAATACGGTCCACCCTGTAAACTAATCCGACCGAGCACACTGGCCACATTCACCACACGCCCTCTTGCTTTCTTAATGAGGGGGAGCACGCTGAGGGTCACGGCGATCAGTCCGTTCAAGTTAACGTCTAGCAGAGACTTGTAGTCTTCGATGGTCAGCCAGTCACAGGGTCCACACGGCACAGACACCCCTGCGTTGTTCACCAAACCCCACAAGCCTGCAGAAAACCCCACATTCACCAGTTAGGGTATTCCAGCTTCCGCAAGGTATCTCACGGAGAAGAGATGTTAGCGTAAGGTGAGTATTGTTAAAATGGGACACTTCCTAAAAATTTGCTCTCTGGAAAAATCATGTCAATGATTACAGAATCATCTCAATGTCTTGAATCTCAACTTGATACCATTCAAGATACATTAATGCCCCTTGAACACTATATTGAAGACAAAATTAAGTATTACTAAACATATATTACCTGCAAAGTTTAAATGTCCCATTTTGCCAGGAGTGCCATTTTAACAATACTCACCCTATACTAGAGCTGCTTGATTATGGCAAAAATCATTATTACGATTATTCTGACGAATACTGAGATCCCGATTATTTACCATAATTACTCTTAACAGCAGAAACAATGTATTTATTGAATCTTAATAATGAAACATATACACTTACACTGAAATTGAAACCAAAATAAAACTTTAAGATAACATACGTTGAACTTGTACAAATACATTTTTTTAATGAATAAATAAATTATACTGAGATGAACTGTTCTCTGATATTCAAAAACACTAAAACTTTTTCTTTCCCCAACTATACATATTAGAGTCGACAGCTCAGTCAACTGATATAAAAAGTGCAACTTAAAGATTTTTTCGAAAGAAAACAGGAGACAAAATTTCCAGCTGTGCTTAACAGTGTTGGGGAGTAACGAGTTAAATGTAACGGCGTTACGTAATTTAATTACAAAAAAAATGTAATTGTAATCCGTTACAGTTACTAGAGAAAAAAGTGTAATTAAATTACAGCTACTTATGGAAATATTCATGATTACAATTTTAGTTACATCATAAGATTGTATGCAAAACTTTGCTAATATCTTTAATAACAGTATTTTTTATTGCTTTTCATGTTTTTCTTATGCAAAACATTCCCCTTTGCTATTTCCCTCTATAGCCGAAAGTTTGAAACTATTCGATGCTTCTGATTGGTTATCCTCTCGCGTCCACACTTGTAGCGCCAATTCTGCTAATTAACTTGACTGAGCGGTCTGAGTTTCTGTTGCAGGCAATGGCAGACAAGGAAAGGAATGTATTCCATTGCTGGAAATATAAAAAAACATTTCCGATACATTACGGAAAAAGGCACAAATTTAACTGCAATGCAGTGCGTTTTTATCGACTGTAAACATGTCGATATCTAAACAGTCCATGCCCAACCTAAGGAAACATCTAGAGGTAAGTGCAGCTTAATGTAACTGCTACAAATAATTGAAAGTGGAAAATATGGTATACTGTATGTAAAAGAAAAAAATTAAAACTGAGTTCGTGGTCTACCGGTAGGTGTCCCCCCAGGCAAAAATGTGAAACCCCGCCTATGTTTGTTACACTGAGCAGGGCTCCAGATGGCGACTAAAATGGTCGCCAATGCGACTTGATTTTCTATTTTGCTACTAGTTTTTTCATTCTAGTCGCCGGTGGCGACTCTCTCTCTCAATCTAAGAAAAGTTTTAAAATTAAAGCAGCAGAAACGGCTTTTAATTATGTGCGGACACTCTCAGCCCGCGTCTACCTTTCCTATAACACTATCACGTGATTAAAACCAAACCGAAGGGAGGCATCATCTGACACGCCCACTCTGCTTCAAATGTCATCTCGCTGACTGCTGCGATAAGGGATCCGAAATAGAAGAGAATCGGGCCACGACTACTCCTCTAATTCCGTCCTAACTTTCCACGTAATACGCGAAATGGCCAAACGAAAAATTTCTGACTTTTTCTCAATGCCCACTCGTCCAAATCCTGCCTTGTCTACTTCTGAACGAACCGAAGATAATTCAGTCAGTGGGTTATCTGCGGTACAGCCACCGGCGTCCGGAAATGTACAGTTATTAAAGGATGACAACTCCGTCCTGTTAGCAAAGTCTTCTGCGCCCGCAGCTCCGACGCTTCTGTGAACTTGACGGATACGCGGTTGCATTATTAAAATAGGGAATCATTTCAGTATGAGATACAAAGAAAGATAATTTTTCTCGGTTATCATTTTTTTCATAATCAAGGGAAGCCATAATTGTAATTGTGATTAATATTCGATTAATTGCACAGCTCTACCCTATACGCTAGAAGGGGTGGGTGAAAACGCCCAATAACACACCATCCTCTTACATATTCGGCCAGCATCTCACCCGTAATGTTTGCGATGCAAACGGTACAATCACAGTTTAGCGGTAGCTCGTCATAGGTTTAACTTCATATATTTCAAAGTTAAAAGCCTTAAATTTCATAGTTAATTTCTTACGAAAATGTAGTTTCAGTACTTTTGTTTAATGTTTCACTTTTTTGTAACCCATATCAATTCAAAATGCAATTTAGACTTCACAAATTCCCAAAAGGCCAATATAAAATTTAGACTGATAAATCATCAGCGTGGATGATCAGGGTAATGAAACGTTTTAATTAGGCTGGGGCGTATATGTTTATCATGGTTATATAAAAACATAACATCACAATACATACATGAATGCATATATATATGCCCGTTCAAACTCACCTTTTTCCCCAACTTTGGTTTTGATCAGTTCAGCCGCTTTGCTCACGCTATCAGTCTTGGTGACATCGAGGTGCACGGCGGTCAGTCTAGCGGAACAGTCTTTTTTAAGGTCCCCTTCGCCCTTTTCCGTTATGCAGGACGCGATCACGCAGAAGCCCAGCGCGTCCAAGCGCCTGGCTAACAGCCTGCCGAAGCCGGAGTCACACCCCGTGATGTACACGTACTTCTCGCATTCCTCTGACACTCTTTTCTTTTCCTTATACCAGCGATAGAGATAATAAAAGACCACCATCCCGAGCAGGTATTCATACATCTCTACAAAAAAAGACTGGCATTAATAAAGAAAAGGTATGCACATTATTAATAAAATTCGTGAACTTTGATGCTGATGCGTGACGCCATCGAAAGACTCCGCAACTCTGCTATGTACGTATACGTGGCCAGAACTTCACATTCGTGATACATTATATCGCGGAATCACGTTAGATACGAATGACAGTGAAGCTGTTACAATCGAGGCTGGCATGCTCACCTATTACACTTTCAGCGATTCTTGAATCTCCCCAAAACTACACTTTACGATAAACACTAACTCACCTGTTTGCAGCCTGTCTGCTTCAGCGTGAATAGATGAATGGGGTATTGATGACTTCCAACTTCCGGTTGTTTTTTTCCGGGACAGTACGTAACGAGCACAGAACGTTTCAAATTGATAATTTTATTGAAATGTGCTCGTCTGATGATTTCTTCAGCACTCGTTGCGCCATAACAAATATGTTGTTTACGCGCGTCAGTGGCTTGCCAACACAACGACCCATTTTAAAAGACAGGAAACATGCAGTCTGATATCAGGAAATCTTATGGGAACCGATTTTAATGTGGGTAGTGGCTCATTAGTTTGAGTTACTGTATCCGATTGCTGGGGCGTGGGTCCGAATCTCGAGGGTGCGTTAAGCAAGATTAGAAAACCGCTTTCAGTAACTATCAGTACGGTTGATGAGGGCCTATAGCTGTACACAGGGATGGAATTTTTCTGCTAAATAACTGATCTATTTAAGTTAAATATTATGACGTGCATTTTTTTTACTGTCCAGTATTTTTACTGTCAATATTACTCAGCTCAGGCGAGTGGGTGAGCTTAATCTCCAGCCTTTTGTATGAGTAAAGTTTTACATTTACTGCAAACAAAGTGTTGGGTTTTTAACAAAATATTAAAACAATTTAAAATGTAGTTTTGCATGAAGTACACATCTGCTAAATGTTTAAATCTCAACATTACATAACTATCCTGCTTTGCTTGTTTGATTTGACTCATTTCAGCATCATACAGTAAATGAAAAACTCAATGATTCCAGAGCCATATTAGTTATATTGTGTTCACATAACTACAGTGCCTGACAAAAGTCTTGTCACATAAGGACGTAACTTAAAAAGGCATATAACTTTATTTCTAATCAATCAATTGTTACAATGAATGGATCA